CCAGAGAGAGCAGAGAGACCAGAGAGAGCAGAAACCAGAGAGAGACCAGAGAGAGCAGAGAGAGCAGAGACCAGAGCAGAGACCAGAGAGAGCACACTGCACATGTCTCCTGCAGAAGCCAATCCCACTTAAGTCCACTTGAGTGTCGCCTGGCCTGCCAGACACTCCTCCTTTCTGTTCAAAAGAAGAACCGTCTGGACACCTCTTCCTAGCCTATCATTTCACGATTTTACCCACATCGGTCCAATCACGCACCGAGAGGCGGGACTTCCTCCTTTCACCTTTGAGTTGCTAATAACTCACCTCGTATCTTTAAGTTTTTGTTACAAAATCGACAGCAGTCGTTTACATTTGCACTAGCTGACATGCCGCCATCCCTTGTTTTGTGTTTACTGAAACGGCTTGGGTGCCGCTAGTTGCTGCGTCATATCCTGTGTGCATCTAATTGGTTGATGCAGTCTGTCAACCACGCCCACCGGGAATTCGCTGAGATCAAGCTCGTTCCCAGACTATATGTCTTTGAAAAAGCATATCGTTTGGCAGGCCAGGCAAACTTGAGTGTTCTCGTCCAGTGCCATGTGTCCTCCCCCTCTCCCCCCCCCTCCCCCCCCCCTGCTGTGGTAGAGGGAACCACGGCGTCCTCCATCGCGCCGTACGGTGTCGAAAATAAAAGACACTCGAACCAAGAAAAGCTTCCACAGCGAGAAAATCAGTGAAGAAACACTGCAGAGACAAACAGGAGTCGCTCAGAACATTGTCAACGTTTGGGAGATTTACAGAGAATCGATGAATGTGTGAGGGATTGTGATGTCACCGATGTTGTCTTAAAGAATGCTCTAAAACTGACCTGAAAAAAGTCAAGTCTTGGTAAAATGCATTCACTAAAAATAACATAAGTTTTTGTCCTGTAAGATTATTTTACTATTTTAAGATACTTCATAATTTTAGAGAAAAAAGTCAGAGCAGTGAGTTTTTAAGCTTGTTTTAAGTATATTTTTTCTTATTTCCAGACAATTTTTCTTGTTGTTTGGATACAAACAACAAAGTTTGTGTTGCTGTATTTTGATAAAAAATTTCTTAAACAATGTTTGAGAAATATGTAAATAATTCTTGAAATGTATGTTTATAGTCTAGAATTAAGTTGTTTGGGGCTAGTATAATTTTCTTATATTCAGAAAAATCTTGTCATGTCATAATTTCTTGTTCTTTTGACAGATCATTCTGTCGCTGTGCCACAGGGCAGCTGTGGCTACGGTTCTGGTTTATCATCACTGTGTATGAAACGTGTCCAAAAAGTGCGATACCAAACAGATGCATTGTTTGCTAACTGTTTTTTGTCTTGGTTATTAGACTTAAAATTGACTTAAAAATGGCCTTTGTCGTCCAAAGCCCAGATTATTAAAAATGTTGAACTTACACTGCAAAAAATGATGGAATTAAAAAAAAAAAAGCGCAAGTTTGGCTAAATGTATCTAAATTTGAGCACATTTTGACCGCCTTAAAACAAGATATTTCTCTCTTGGAATGAGATAATAAAGCAAAAGTTCTTGAATCAAGTCAAAATTGCTTGTCTCTTTGGCAAATCTCGTTTTAAGACAGTCAGAATAAACTTGAATTAAAATATTTACAACTAATTTCAAGCAATTATTTTCTCATTTTTGATCTTTTTTTGCAGTGTATAGACTCTGGTCCTATACCTCTACACTGCAAAAGATGACAGAATTAAAGACCAAAAAAAGCTAAAATTTGGCTAAATGTATCAAAAATTTGAGCACATTTTGACTGCCTTAAAACAAGATTTGCCAGTGGAACAAGAAAAATGGTCTTGTTTTAAAAAGATACAAGATATTTTTCTCTTGGAATGAGAAAATAAAGCAATAGTTCTTGAATCAAGTCAAAATTGCTTGTCTCATTGGCAAATCTCATTTTAAGACAGTCAGAACGAACTTTAGTCAAGTTAAAAAAACTCGATTCTAGCAATTATCATCTCATATTTGATCATTTTTTGCAGTGTACAGTTAACTATACAGCCTTTAACAAGACCCCACACTTCCAAATCCCAGTTTCGCCGAGATTCTCCTCTGCCAGAAACCCAAACACACGGGCAAAGCTTCTCCAAACTCGCCGCTCTCTCAGACTCGTTCCTTCCGTCCCCGAGGACCGAGAGCGAGCACGGTCTGTCGGTCTGTCGGCCTATCACGCAGCAGCACACGGCTTTCTGTGACAAACTGGCATCTCTGGTTCTCCTATAGCTCCACAATCACCTGGTGGCTACACAGCGTTCTTGGAAGCTCTCAGACGTTCCATATTCATAAAAAAATTGGGTCCAACGCGGCGCCCGGCTGTCAAAGCATCACAAAAGGTCAGAATGCAGATTTAATTACTTTTGTGTTGGAGCCAATTTGAATAATAACACATTTTGAAGATCATTTGTTTTGTGCCGGCGAAACACGGCCAAAGGGCAGTTTCACACTCACAAATTGTAACCACAGTTTTAAATAATTATAAAAATCTTACACTTGTGTTAGACCGATGAGGCCACAGTCACTAACCCGGATTCAGGAGATTTAAGGACTTTTATGGACCGTGGTCGTCTCACTCTCTGTGGACCAACGGCTCCAATGGGTTTGATGCATTTCCTGTGTGAGGACTGTTTGATTCTCTGATCTGTTGTTGGTGAATCGACAGCTTTGTGAAGTCCTGCCTGGTTAGTGCTGTGATGGGAGACCTCTGGGAACAGCAGGTGCCACAGTGGGGCGGTTGCGGCTGTAAAGGGCCAAACTGTGGCTGTGTCCTTCGGCAAGACACTTCACCGATATTAGAATGAGTCTGGTGTGTGTGTGAATGGTTGGTGGTGGTGGGAGGGGTCAATGGCACAGACTGGTTGCCTCGCTTCTGTCAGTGTGCCCCAGGGCAGCTGTGGCTTGAGTAGTTGTTTATCACCACCGTGTTTGGAGTGAAAGAATAATGCCGTGTGAAGAGACTTTGAGTGACCAAAATAGCGCTGTATAAAAACAGAATGCATTATTATAAATTGAATTGAATTGTTGAGGCAATATCATTTGAATACATTTTAATTTAACAATGGGTAATTAAACAAGTATCAATTACTGTCGATGCTGATCAAGGCTTTATATACTGTATATTTACTGTCACACAATATAAAAGTATTGTTTTCACTATTTGTCCATTACATACTTCACCGATTCTTCAGAAGTGTGTTTTTTTTAGCAAATCGTATTAAATTGATGTGAAGTGTGAGTTTGAAATTCTTTAAATTCTCAATATTGGATGAACAAATATGTCATGAAGGAATAGAATCGAATGAAAATCTAAATATTTCTTCTGTGTGAGTGTGAGTCGGTCCTGCAGATGTGTGGACAGTGTCATGTTTTAGTGTTTGCACTAATACTGTCTTTTGCACGACCTCAGTGATACTTTCTTTGCCAAATGTGACATGTACATGTGACATTTATCTCCCAGTGTTTCAGCATTGGGAGATAAATACATTAATAAATTAATACATGATTAAACAAGTATCTATATATACATGAATAGATAAGTAAATGAATAAAACATAATTCAATACATAATTAATTCATTCAATAAATCATAAAACACATAATCAATTATCTAAATAAATAACTAATTAAACAAATAATAAACAAATAATAAACAAATAATTAAATACACAAATAATTAAATACACAAATAATTAAATACACAAATAATTAAATACACAAATAATTAAATAAATTGATAATTAATTAAATACATAATTAAACAAATAATTAAATTAATTGATAATTAATTAAATAAATAATTAAACAAATAATTAAATACATTAATTAGTAAATAAAAAAAAATAAAAATGAGTTGAAATAAAATAAAAATAAAAATACATGCATAATAAAAACATGGTATTATTTAGAATGATCTATGTATGTGTTTTGTTTGTGTGAATGGATGTGTTTTTGCTGCTACTGGACACCTGCATTTCTCCTACAGGGGTCAATAAAGTATCTATCTTTCCACATGTATCTAATTAAACTCTTATCTTATCCCACTAAGTCTTCGCACCACTGGTTCGGCTAATTCCTCGTCCCACATCCGGCGTCTGTAGCGCCGGGCGACATGTGTACGGTGATTACAAGTTTGGAATCCACGTATGTGCAATGATCAGACATCTGTTTCTGCGCCGAGCTGGAATAAATCAGGATCTAGTCTGACTAATCAAATTTAATCACACGAGCGGCCTCCCGGAGATAATGAATGGACAGAGCTTGTAACGTATGTATCCACTCCTCGTCCAAAGCACGTCATTAGTTTCCAGAACATGCTCCGAACGCGAACACAGAGGCACAGCTGAGGAGATTCATTTAAAAGCAATCATCGGTTCATGCTTATGTGCGGGAACTTTCATTTTTAATTTAGTTTCAGGATATTCTGTCGCTTCAATATCCTGTCCGCCTTAATTTTGCACAAAGAAATATCAGCGGCGATATTAAGTAATGTCTCAAAAGGACTAAAGGTTCAGAGTCAAACTGGGAATTGGCTTTTGGGAGATGGTGCTAACAAAGTAAATGCTAACAAAGTAAATGCTAACGAAGTCAAACATAGACAGTAAGGCAGGCATGGACAAAACTTAGTGAAATTCTAATTTAAATACTTACAATATACATTTAACAGTGCAGGTTATTTATTGCCCAGGTATACACTGCAAAAAATGGTAAAAAATTTGCTAAGAAATTGATGAATCCAGTGGTTTTTGTCTTAATATGACACATTGTGTGTTAAAACAAGATTCTCCGATGGGACAAATTTTCTCATTCCAATGGAGACATTTCCGTATCTTTTACAAAACAAGATCATTTTGTTTTGTCCCATTAGAAAATCTTGTTTTAAGGCTCAGTCAGAATGTGCAAAAATTTATATACATTTTGCCAAATTTTGACAATTTTTTATTAGTTTTTCAGAACTGTTTACAGTGTAGATCTGCT